ATTGCATACATTGGCTCACATCATTATCAAGATTTTAAGTGGGCAAAAGACATAGGTCATACAACCAAAAGGAAAAAATAAGTTAAAATATTGAGACTTACTATTAATGTTTAAAAAAAGATTAAAACAGAGTATTATTTTACCCCCTAGGATATTTAGTAAAAATGTATATTCAGTACTCAAAATATACATGGTCCCTGCCCTCAGAAAATCTACAGTCTAGTTTAAAAACTGACCAAAAGCAGTAATAACATTTTAAGTTATTAGAAGTGCTGGCTGTTACAGGGTACATCTAACCTGGTCTGGTTGTTCAATAAAAGGCTTCCTTGAGACATTTGAGCTGAAATCCAAAGGGTGGCAGACATTTTGCCAGCCAAGAGTGACAGAAATATTACAGGCAGCCAGGCCAAGAGCATGGCAAGTTTGAGAAACTAAAAGCAGTTGAGTATGACGAACATGGAATGGAGGGGGCTGCAGCAGTGAGATGAATCTGCAAGGGTCAGCAGAGGCCCCGGTGAGGGCCACAAGCAGTGCTGGTTGGACTTTTACAGCCATGTGAAAACGTTTGGACCATTCCTAAGGAAGCCACTGACTGGTTTTAGTTTGAGGGACCAGGTGCTCAATAAAGCTAATTTTGGCTGGAGAGAAAAGACTAGAAGCAGAAAGTCAGTCTCATTGATCATATGGTCACCCAGTAGGGAGAGTAAGAGTGGCTTAGTGATCATGGAGACATTCCAAACCTGAGAAGAAAGTACAGGAGGCATAATTGACAGTTTTCTAGTTTGCCTTACTAGGATAGGCTGGTTATGTTGCCTTAAAACCCCCCAAATTTTATTGGCTTAAAGACTACCTTTTATTTGCTAAATAATCATCAGTGGTTGAACTAGGCTGATACAGCAGTCACTGGAACATTGTCAGCTATGTGACACAGCCAAGAAGATAATGTAATTAAAAGTGCACTGGCTTTTAAAACTTAACCTGAAATTGACACATGTTGACTTCTGTGTACATTTCATTGAACCTAGCAAATCACAAGGCCATGTCCAACTTCACCTGGGCAGGGGACTGCAATCATACCTTTTGCCCAGAAATTAGTCAAGATATTCGGGAATAGCTCTAATGACTATCACAAGCCACCCTTTCAATTATTAAATATTTAATTTTACTCTCCTTTTCTCAAGAAAATACATCTACCATGGGAGACAACCTCAAATTCCCAGCTGGTCAGGCATTGAGCTAAAATTCTAGGATATGTGGTTACCTGCCCTCTACACAGCCAGTATACAGTGGTGAAATAGGGACAGGAAAACTGCAGGAAACACTGCCATTCAGAAAGGGGAAGAATAAAGTCACTAGTCTGTAACAATTATGAAATGTCATTGGGGAGACCATTTGCGGGCCCTCTAAAGAGAGGGGAGTGTTCTTTATAAAGCTGATGGAATCCACTGTTTTCCATGACCCTTGGCTCCATCCCTGATTTGCTGGATGCAGTTATCTTTTATTTCTTCTTTCAAACTGGCTTTTTTTTTTCCCTCCTCGACAAATACAACCAATTAGTAACCATGGTACTTAGATCCTGTTTTCCAAGTTCTTCATCTAGGGCTTCAAACAGTACCTTTCCTGCCCTCTAAGTTATCACATGTGAGTTGTTTGTTTTTTAGCTGAGCCATCCTACACATGTGAGTTTTTTTGTTTTTTAAAGATTTTATTGGGAAGTTGGGGGAGGGGAACAGCATTGGGGAATCAGGGAAGGAGAATAGACAAGTTGCTGTCCTTTTGTTCTTCAGTCTAATTGTGGAGGACGTCGCTTCACTGGCCCGTGTTGGTATTATCATTGCGCTCTTCCCAGGTGAGGCAGATGGGTCGCTGGCCCCTGGACAGCCGCTCACACTGGCTGCTGGCCGCTCACAGTAGCTTATGGTAGCCCACTGCAGCCTATGCGGTCACAGGCGACTCACAGCAACCCAGCTCTGGTGAGAGCTGTTGTTCACCATCTTAGCTGTAGAGGGCACAGCGTCACTGGCCCTAATGTGAAATCCGAACCGGGGTCCTGCTGCTCAGAGGTGGCATCCCAAGCCAACTCTTAACCAATGCAGCCGGCCCCACATGTGTTTTAATAGAGGCATTGGTATTCCTCCAGCCTTCAATGTCAGTTCCCCCCATCACTTTCCTGTCTGACACCACCATCCATCCAGCTACCCAAGCTGGAAACCTGTTTTTATTCTTGACTCCTTTTCTCCCTCATCTCCTATATCCAATCTGTAGTTCCTAACAATGGGTTCTATCAATTCTCTTGTCACTTAGATTTTTAAAAAATTTGTTACACACAAAGCATTTACCTATAAGGCAGACACTCCTGTAAGTGCAGTCCTCCTAACACATCTTTGAGGTGTGGTCATTTAACAGATGAAGAAATAAAGGTATGGAGAAGTTAAGCAACTTGCCCAAGGCACAAAACTATTAAATGGCAGAACTGGGATTCATATCCCTAGGCCATGTGCTTAACCACTGTACTCTGACCTAAGCCTGTTCTTGCCTGTTAGGCTTGGACTGCCACGATGATTACCTGTGCTCCCTAAATACATTCTTAGTAGTCCACCAGCAGCCAGTTGAATGTTTTTGAACATTCCCACCCTCACTTTGGGGGAATGGCAGTTGCTGACATTATCCCATGTTGGCCTACTATTCCCCTGAGGCACCCCTTCTACTCTCTATGCCACCAGCCACTGGGCTATGGCATCCCCCCAGGTCACCATCCCAAAACTACCACTCCCACTCCAAAGGTGTGGGGTTATTACAATGATCAAAGATAACCATTTGTTGCTGACCCACATTGTTCACAGAAATATATCTGCCCATTATCCCAACGGAATTTCTCAGGCGCCTTCCCAACCTTGTTCTTCCCATTTCTTGGGTTTTCCAAACTAAAAATCCTTTTCACATTGTTATCCAGAGTGTGTGGCTTTCTTTTTGACTTAGTCTTTCCTCTCCCACACCCATCCTGGCTTGCCCAACCCCTCTTTGTCCACCAGAAATAAATGCTTCCAAGTGTTTTTTTAAATTTTTTTTTTTAATTGGGGAATTGGGGGGATGGGAACAGTGCTGGGGAATTGGGGAAAGGGGAACAGACAAGTTGCTGTCGTTTTGTTCTTCAATCTAGTTGTGGAGGATGTTGCTTCACTGGCCCAAGTTGGCACCATCATTGCGCTCTTCTCTGGTGAGGCAGATCAGTCACCGGCTTCTGGACGGCCGCTCACTGCGGCTGCTGGCCGCTCACGCTGGCTGCTGGCCACACACGGTAGCCCATGGCAATCCACTGCCACAGGGACTGCAGCCCACGCCGTCGCCGGCGACTCATGGCAGCCCAGCTCCAGGTTGAGCTGTTGTTCAGCATCTGAGCTGTGGAGGGCAGTGTCACTGGCCCTCTTATGTGGGATCCGAACCGGGGCCCTCTGGCATCCCAAGCGAGTTCTTAACCATTGCGCCACTCGGCCGGCCCCCAAGTGTTTTTTTAATAGAAGAACCATTCCTAGTCTGGTTGGATTTGAGATCAATTCAGACATTTTAAATTGACTAAGATTACTCCTCACCAGCCTTACAAGTTTTATTTCCGGGTCTCCCCACACCATCTAGGCCAGCGGCCCAACTAACTCTTCCGAAACACATCTTTAGTGCTTGCCATGCGTGGTAAGAAGTAAATGTCCCCCTGCTCCCTGTCTTCCTCCCTGTATTAGGTATTGTTGATAAATTTTTGTTTAGCTTTCTCCCTTTTGGTATGACCAATGTTTCTTTTATTTGTTTTTACAGAATAAAAGGGTCATATAATTTTGCACCTGTTTTTTTTCTCTTAGAGCTTTCACAGCATGTAAGGGATATTCTTCATTTTTAAAACATACCCTTTTACATATATCAGAGTTTAGTTTTAGTTGTCCTGGCATACATTGCTGCAATGGACATGCTCCTCCATGTTTGTTTTAGTTCCACTAGCAGTGACTTCAAGTTTTGACAGAGCCTCCTAAGTTACGCTCCTACTAAGGCAGTTTGAGAATAGCATTTCACTCTCTCCCCTGCTAAAAACTTTTCAAGGGGCAATGCAAAAGAAAGAACTTGGGTTCTACCACCTAGAACCTTCAGAAGACCTCTTTAACCTCTCTGGGCCTAATTTTTCCACCTGTAAAATAAGGTATAATCTTGCATCTCAGAATGGTTGTGAGAATCCAGAGACTGCTTCCGTGAAGTCTTGGTTCCAGAAGAGGCCCGGTTGCATTCTAGTTTTGGAATAACCCAGGGCACAGGCCAAAAGCTCAGGCTAAACCGTCTAAAAAGCCCTCTCCCCCGACTTGTAGATGAGGCAACTAAGGCACAAAGATCACCATAGGTATGGTCAAGACCACACAGCATTGGCAGCAAAGCTAGTTCTGGCTTGAGTCTGAGCTGCTGCCAGCGACCTCTGGATGTGGCCCTGACCACCTACCTCCAATCCCCTTCTAACCTATTCCTTTCGCCCAACGACCCTCAAGCACTCTTCACTCGCTTTGAGTACGACCTGAGGCCCAGGGGGGGCCCTGGGTGGGGGAGTTATTCCTGGACAACTAAAGGTAGCTGCAGTCCGCGTCAGTCTCGCCCTCAACCAGGGGTCCCGGGAGGGCGCCCGCTGGCCCAGGGGCTCAGGACCTCCGCGTCCTCCCCAACTGCTGGGCTTCAGACAGTGCGCCCTCGAACTCGCCTCTTGCGCCGAGTGTATGTGAGTGGCACGGGCGTGTAGACGGCACACGGGGATTGTCATACGCGTGTTAAGTGGTGTACACATCCTTGTGTAGATGTGTGAAACGTGTGCGGTGCAGATGTGGGTTCATGGAGTATGCAGCTCTTCCTTCCAGCCCTTCCTCAGCCTTTGCCCCGACTTGCATAGCCGCCTGATCTGGAGTTTGCGCGTGCGCGACTCCGCCTTAGACTCCTCCCCAGCGATTGCAATCCCGCCTTCGCCACACTTTACGGCCCTGTACGCCACTTTTGCAGCAGACGCTCCCGCTGCCGCCGCTGCCCCTCCTGCCGCGACTGCTGCTAGCGAGGTGAGGTGAGGTAAGGTGTGGTGTTGGGCCGATGCCGCTGACGACTGGGAGGAGGTGGGGAGCAGGGCCGCCGCGGGACAGCGGGGACGGCGGGTCAGCTACTGCTTTGTCTTCTCAGCTCCAGTCCCGTCTGCGCTGCCGCAGAGAGGCCGGCCCGGCCCGGCGAGCCGAACCAATGCTGGATCTGGAGGTGGTGCCCGAGCGCTCTCTGGGAAACGAGCAATGGGAATTCACGCTGGGTAAGTATAGTGTCCACCCTCAGGATCCTAGTCTCTGTTCCTTACTTCCCTCCGGGCCCTTCCCGCCTCTGGTCTCTGCCCCTTACTCTCCTGCTGCCGCGGCTCCTGGCCTTTTCCGCCCGCTTGGCTATCCGGGCTCCAGGCACTAGATACCCACTCCGACCGGCCTGACCCGCTCTTGTGTCACTCAGCTGGACCCCGAAGCCCTCGCTTTAGGCCTCAACAGGGCCCCTCCCGAGGCAGTGGTACGGTGATAATAATAATAACAATGGCTGACACGCCCCAAACACTCGAGGCCAAGCCCTGCTGTCTGGTGCGTAATTATCTCAAGTTGGTCTCCTTGGGGTCTGAGGGTCGGTAGGTACTCGTGTTATTCCTGTTCCCATTTTACAAACGAAATACCTAAGAAGTGACTGACACTCTTAAATGTCACAGCAGCCTGTCTTCTTTTGCTTTTTTGGGCTGTCAAGAAGGGGAACCTAGGCTCCGATCCCATATTCAGATGTTGGGGATCTGGTCAGAGGAGTTGAGGAGAGTTTGTGTATGTTAAAGGGACACCTAACTTGTTTCCTTCTAGTTTTTAATGTGGTGGATGTGTGGTGTAATCCTAAACCCAGACCTTAGCTGAGAATGAAATAGGAGTTCAGGGCAAGTAACATTTAGTTTATAGAAAATGCAGCCTGGTCATTTTTTGCTTTTTGGCCCAGCTTTCCCTCTCCCCACTGTCACTACCTTTTTGCGTACAAATATTTGCATTTAGTAACGCTTGTGTGTGTTTACTTTGATGTTCTGGCACTAGGAAAAGGGGGTGGGGAGCAGGTGTTGGTGCTGTTTGTTTGTGCAGGCCTGAACTTTTGTCACACTAATTTGGGCTACTGGGCTGAGTCAGCTGCTCCATTGAGCTATAACTTCTCCTTGAATCTGAAAGACTCATCCAACAAGACAGGGTAGGTGAGAAACTGTGCAGGACAGATTGCTGGTAGGGCCCTGCTGGTGCGCAGTTGGCTACATGAACTGAACGGGTAGCCTCCTCTGGGTTGTAGGAGCCAGTTTTATTGAGAGGTCTTAGCCAGCTTCTCTCAGAACTTAAACTATTCCTGCAGAGTTCTTCCCCCGCCTCTTGTGAAGCACAAAGAGCTTGATTGGGAGGCTAGTGATATCTTTGCCTCCAGACCCATTCATCATGCTGATGCTGTTTGGCTTCTAGTTAGGAAAGAACCTCCCACCCACAGCTTCTCATACCAGGACTTAACAGGGCAGAGTGAGAGCCACAACCATAGCTTCAAACTGTGCTTGATGTTGCAACTAAGTTGTGGATCTCTGTGTACAGAGTCTCTTGGCCAAAAGTAGTGGTTAGGATGTCAGTTGATACCAGGATTTCCAAAAAGCTGGATGGGAGAGCAAGGCTTCCTCTGTCAACTGTTGTTTTGATACCTTAACCCCCACTCCTAGCTTTTGCCAGTTTCGAGGAGTCAAGGGTATGGTTAGTTCTTTCAAATTGTCTTAACAACCAAAAACAGTGAAAAGAGCATTACTGTATATTGGGTCCAGAATTGAACTTTGAGAGCTCATAAAGGGGGCCTGAGCCTTGATAATTCCTTTGTGGATCATAAAAATCCACACTTTAAGATCGTGTCTGCCTGAGAGGTGGTGGTCATTTAACTTCCCTAGGCTAAAAAAAAAAGTCATTTTTCCCTCAGTCTCCCCAGCGCTCAACACATCTAAACTACAGTTGGGGCTGATAGGTAGGGATAGGCCTAAGAAGTGCATCTGTGCTTCAGAATTACATTCCTGGGCTGGAGAACCAGGCAGTATTTAATTCAAGTCACCACAACCCTGCAAAGTAATCTCCATTTGCCAGATGAGGAACAGGCTCAGAAAGGTAGAGGTGATAAAAAAAGAGCAGGACAGGGATTTCTTGCTTCCCACTGCTCTGCCCTTCTGAGGATGGGCTCAGCTTTATCTCCAGGTTTGTTTTGGGAATCTGTGCAAATGTAGATGTATCTAGCCCTTGCCATTATCTTCCTGGTATCATAATGGGGAGCTGCATCCAACTTCTTGGCTGCCTTCCTGGCTTTTGTTTGATGTTGGAAGATTAGGGAAATGCCAACAACACAGGGACATTAAAGCTTAGGCCAAGAGGAAGAATGCCACTGATGATTTGATTAGTGGTGGAGTAGAGACAGTGCAAATTTGAAATGTTTTCAATGAGATTTGCAGAATGTATTGGTGTGGAGGCATGTCTCTGATTTTGAAATTAGTGTTGCAAATGCCCAAAGAGGGTAGATTTAAAGGGTCACTGGGGAATAGTCTTCAAGATTACCTCGTTCCAGAGAGACTGAAGGCTCACTGTTGAAGGCAGCATCTACTTCTGTGGACTCTGCTTACACACATTGAAAACTGAATAAGAAATGGTCATATAGAGCTTAGTCTAGTGGAAAGGAAGGATCAAAGAAATGGTTCATTTTATTATAATGAGGCTAGTGGTTATGTAGGGTACTATGGAAGGGGGAAGGGACTTGACCTGACCTGCGGGGTTCTGGGAAGGCTTCCTGTCAACCTACAGAAGCCAGTACCATCCCTGGAACTAGTGAGCAACAGGCAGGCTATCAGAAGTCTACTGCCAGATTTCATATCTACATTGTCGCCATAGACATAAATCTTCCAGTCAAGTTAAAAAACAAATCAAAACAATGGGAAAGATAGGTGGTATGTAGGGAACTATAAGCAATTTGGTATTATCGTTAGAGCATGATGTGCTGGTGGAAGAAGAAAATAGGTTCCCCAGATTCCCAGTTCTCTTTGGTGGTGGCTGCCTGGGACACTATCAAAGAGTCTCTGGGTTCACTGGAAAAGAAGATATCTGTTAGTAAAGTGTTTTGTGGGCATGAGTTTAGGAAGAAAATTTGGAGACTAGATTTGGAGAGATGGGGAAGGAGGAAGAATCTAGAGGTTTCTGCCTTGAGTGACTGGGTAGATATTAGCAGTATTAAGTGAGACCCAGAATATAAAGGAGAAGCCAGATTGAAGAGAAGGTGAAAATAGACTTTTAATCTGTTGATTTTTTTATTTGCCTTTAGGTATATACAGAAAACAGATTGAGATGTGAGTCAGAAACTATTAATAGATGGTTGGATGAAAGAATGAGGGATGGGCTGAAGGAAATACTACCCATCGTAGAGATATGGACAGTTACAGGAAATCCTCTAAATCTTAACACTGGTTTTTGAACTCATGGCAGGAGAGAGTGGTGTTGGTAGAAGAGAGAGGATACAAGTTCTCAGAGAGGGTGGGTCGTCACCAGGGTCTCTGGTACAGGACCTATGTGTTCTACCTAATTGCCTTGTTTGATGCTTTCAAAGCTCAACAGATATATAGGAGCACCTGCAATTGTGCCAGGCAGTAATACAGCCTGAGGATACAGCAGTAAAACAGCTATGTCTTTCCTTAAGGACATGTAGAGGAGGCTCTAACAGAAAATAAATGGGGTGGAAGTCTTCATTAGATACGGCAGTCAGGGAAGTGAGGTGTGAGCTAAGACCTGAAGAAGGAGAAGAAACCAGTTATGGGAAGAACATTCCAGCAGTAAAGAGCTAGTGCAAAGGCCTAAAGTGGGAAAGAGCTTGACCTGTGCTAGGAACAAAGGGAGGCATAGTGAGCAATGAAAACAAAGGTGGAGGCAAACAGAATATTCAAAGCTCTTAGGCAATGGCATGTTGTTTGGATTTTATCCTCCTGTAATGGGAAGCTATTGGAGGGTGATAAGCAGGCAAATGATGACGCCTGTAAGACAAAGATTTATATAGTTTAGAAGGCTAACCGGAGATTCCACCCCCTTTTTGGGGTTAGGTAACCTGTTAGAGCTGGGACAGTGCTCGGGTTTCTCTGCCATACGTACAATTGGTTCCCTTTGAACACCTTTTGTAGCCTTCCTTACCAGCAGCTGTGTGACGACTTGTCATCTCAGCTGCTTTGTCTCCTCCAGGTAGGTTTCCCCCTATGACTCAGGATGCAAAGATTCCAAGACAAGGAATTTTATGTGATTAGAAGGAAAAGAACCTTCCCTCAAGAAACTGGTTTGTGCCACTTGGGTCAGAGAAGCCAGGTGACCTTCTTTTTCTCTTAGCCCCTAACTGAGCTTATCTGTCTTCTCCACATAGATGTTTGCCCATTCCCTCTGGGAGAGACAGCATAGGTGCACTTCCATTTCAGGAAGGGCAAAGCTGAGTGATGTGTCTGACTTGTTCATATTCTCAACAAACATTTATTAAGCCTCTACTATGTGCCAGGCCCTGTGCTATATAGTAGGCTGAAAAGTGTCTTGTTTAAGGTCTGGTTCCCTCCAACTTTCTTCAAACTGTAGAATGGACCATTGAATAAAGGCAGGATTGGATCATTGTTTAAATGTAGATAGGCCATGTGTTTTTAACCCAATTCTTTGTGCGTAAACTCTTCTGTGCACCGTCTTCTCTCCTTGAATCATGTGTGAACTGATCTTGAATATGAGCCACTGTATTGCCCGTGTCATGGTGATCCCTATTCCTTCCTTTCTCTTATTTTTTACCTACCCCATAATCCTTCAGTTCCACTGAATATTTATTCAACAGCCACTATGTGGTCAGCCCTGTGCTGGGTGCTGGGGATCCAGAGAGGTGAATAACACAGACGTATTGTTCTTGCACTCATAAAGCTTTGAGTTTTTGTTTTTGGATTGTCTAGGATTTTGTTTTAGCTTGTCTCTCTGTATGTTTCTTTTTAAAAATATAATGGACTCTGAAAACATACTTTTTGGTGTTCTCTTTGAGTCCCTGGAATCTTTGAGATGCTGTTGGGATTTGGATTTCCTAAATTGGGGGCATATATAAATCTATTTATAAGGGGCCATGAGTTCAAAAATCAGTGTTAAGATTTAGAGGATTTTGTGGGTAGATAAATAAGGATCCAGTGAAAATCCTTAGTGAAATAAGTTGATTCTCGTACATGTGTGATTTTTTAACTCTTTTAATGAGCTCTTACAAGTCATGTGTTCCTGCATAGTCTCATTTGAGAGATGAGGAGATAGGTGCCACATAGAAAGAGAGGAAGGAACTGTCCTAGAGTATATGTAATCCATGGCAGAGTGAGAACCAGAACCTTGGTGTCCAGAGTCATAAAATCAGTGCTTTTCTCATTCCCTTTTTTGTTTCATGATGACTTTGCCCTCACCGAGCCCTTTGCCTGCTTGGGATAGCATAGAGGTCCCATTTCCAGAAGTTTTTTTGTATATTCACTCCCTCCCCTTATACAACCCAGCTGTTCCCTTAGTGTTTGCTGCTAACTTTATTCTAGCTCTTACGACTTACTGAACTTCTGTTTACTCATAGTCTGTAGACCTTAGTGGCAACCCCACTCCCAGCCCAGGCTTTACTACAGGGACTAATGCCTAACAGTGATAGATGTCAGTAAATGGATAGCCCAAGTACTCACACAGGTGTCCTTGCTTTATTTCAGGAATGCCTCTGGCTCAGGCAGTAGCCATTCTTCAGAAGCACTGTCGCATCATCAAAAATGTCCAGGTTCTGTACAGTGAACAGGTAAGTGATAGTTGATTTTTTTACTGAAATAGCATCCCTAATCAGTGAGTCGCCTCCACAGGTTGATGCTCTTACAGGGATTGTTGGGTCAATTGTGTGTTTGAATGGGAGACTCTCCAGCACTAGTCAGTTACCAAGCACATTTGGTTTTGATAATCTAGTGCTGCCAGGTTTTAAGAGCAGTAATAACTGAACTTGTTTTTTTTATTGTGTTTGACTTATGTATTGGCCCTTAGACAGGGACATTTCAGTGGGAGGTCACCTAAGGGGCTGCCTGTTCTTCTAGGGTACTTGCTTTCCACTTTTGAATTTAAAATACTCTTTTCTGCTTTGTTGGTTGCTTTGGTTTGTGTTTAGGATTGTTATAGTGCAGATTTCTAGCTAACAGACCATCCTATACTTGAAGGTATACCTCACCCCTTTAGTGAGAATGATCTGCTACATGGAAATTGCAAGGTACTGACTGCTAATTGATGAACATATTTTACTCTTTGTTTTGTCCAATTTATGGTAGCCTCTATTAAATGTTGATCAATTGTGCCAGGAATTAACCCCTAAAGTGTAATGTTGCATGTACCCACAAAGACCTTTTCAATTTCCAGAAAGAGTATACCGGGGGCACCAAAAAAATGTATACATGACTTTTATTCATCTTTTGGTATCAGTATACATTGAGTATTACAATTTTCCTACAGTTTTTTTTCCTTTTTAAAAATATGTATACATTTTTTTGGCACCCTCTGTATTTGAAGTTAGCACCAGAGACAAACTTTCTGAAGTCAGAAATTTTAAACTAATATTTGTTTTTTTAAGTACGTAAAGGTGGACACTATTTTCTGTAGGCCTTCAGAAATAGGATTGTTCTTTCTAGAAATGCAGTCTCCCTGCCACTGAACTCTCTGAAACCTGTGGTTCTTCTGTGACAAAGACCTTGCAATCTTTGTGGTGCCCTGTGTGTCACAAACCTCAGGGAATAGTTTTGAGCCTACATAGGCTACAAGATGCCCTCTGAGGCTTTTTTGAGACCCTTTTAAGTACCGGTTTGATTATTTGAGTTTCATTTGTTCTAATTAGTTTCAGATCCTAAAACAAATGACATTATTTTTGACACAAAGAACATTGTGGATTAGAAGTGGGTGAGATTTCTGTGAGGCTTCCCAATTTGGTTTAGTATCAAATTGAGCCTGTTAATCCTCTACCCAAAAATTACATTCGTTTTGTACCCTTCTGCCAGCCTCCTGAGGCCCCATGTAAAGGGTCCTTCTGAGACAGGGAATGCTTAATCTCCAAGCAAGTGCTTGGATATTCTTGTGGTACCTGCTACAAAACAAGGGACTTGTAGGAGTGGGCAGGGGCTCCTCGAGCCACAGAGCCAAAATGGCTTCTCGTTTATAAAGTGAAGGATGTTAGCTTTTCTGTTGCAGTCAGCTCATTGCTAACCTAATCTGACCTTCAATGTTTAATCAAGAGGGAATTTCTCATGACAAATAGTAGCAGCTATCAAAACAGGGAAAATGGGCTTGTTCTTAAGCTTATAGTCATTGCACATTCAGTTAAATAAAATTTGGGCACCCCGAGATTAGATACATTTGTAAGTAGGCTTTAAGCATTCTTAACCAATTTTTTTAAGAATGAGTTTTATTTTTTATATCGCTATCTTTGTTGTCTGTTGTTCCAGTCTTTGGGTACAAATAGCAGTTTTAGCATTAAACGAATTCTCCCCAGTATCTTCTAAGCAACTGAAATCCGTTGAAAAACATGGGTTTTTGAGTCCAGACCTTGGTTCTGGTCCTTGCTCTTCCCATTTCTTTGTCATGCGGATTGTAGCAAGTTAATAAACTCGTCTGGTTCTCCTGTGAAGTGGATATAGTTTCCTTAGAATAGTTTTTTGATAAGGATCAAGAGGATGTGGTGTCTCAGGACTCTGATATGGTGCTTTTTACATGTGGTCCTGTCCTCCTCTGCCCTCCTTCTTTCCTTTCCCATTTGTCGCCTTGCTTCCCATCAAGTACAGAGAACAGTTTGGCCTTGTTAAACATTTCAGCAATATTTTGCAGCAAATCACACCTTGGAAATTAAATGTGCATATCAAGTAGGTCCCATCTTTTTTAGAAGAAGATGTCAACGACTAGAAGCAGACGGTTTTACTGAACTGTTTCATATAGAGGACTACATAGCCTTGGATTACTGGAAGGGCCTGCTTAAACACCACATAGTACATGTGTATTTTGGTTCTAGAGATACAAAGTACTAATAAAACATTGACTGTGAAGATGATTTGCTTGCTTTTGAAAATTGTTTAGTTATGTCCTGAATTGTAACAATGCCAGAAAGAAAATGATCAGATCTTGGGAGAGTATAAGAAAATCCAGATCCTCCCAGTAATCTCCCTCCAAGCAAGGATATTAAAAGATGCTAAAACGTTGCTTCATCTCACTTTCCCTGAGAGTTGACCTCAGAAGTGGCACTGTGTGTTCTGGGTGGAGAGTACTGACCAAAGGTCAAGGTTCATTATTTCATTATCTTGCTTGAGACCTAATGGTTTTATTTATTAAAGATTTTTACTGGGGAAGGGAAACATTGTGTTTTTCCAGGACCCATCAGCTCCAAGTCAAGTTGTCGTCCTTCAGTGTTAGTTGTGGAGGGCGCAGCTCAGCTCCAAGTCCAGTCACCGTGTTCAATCTAGTTTGTGTGTGTGTGTGTGGGGGGGGGGTGCAACCCACCATCCCATGTGGGAGTCGAACCAGCAACCTTATTGTTAAGAGCACGCGCTCCAACCAACTGAACCATCGGGCTGCCCGAGACCTGATGGTTTTAGACTGACCTACTGGAAAATTACAACATTGTTTCTTCTAGTTTTTGCCAGGCATGATGGTGCCACCTGTGCCTGCTACCTTGTGAAGATCAGTGGGGTAGAGGGGAGCAGACAGTGTGATCCCAGAAGGCTCTTTGGAGAGAATGTTTCCAGTGAGACCCACACCAGCAGTGGCACATCTCTGTTTCTGACAACCACACCTTCATCATTTACTGCCTACCTTGAGAAGCTCTATAAAGAAACTTCTCTAGACCCTTTTGAGAGCTGTGTTCCAATTTCAAGAAGGGGCAGGGTTTTGGATGGTTTTTCTAATGCTGAGTAGCGTGGTTAGGGCTATGGAAAGTCTTCAGATGTTGAGTCCTTGAATTGATTGATTGCATTGGACCAGAAGCAGGCAGGTGGGGCAGACATGAAGAAAGAGTGCAATGTGCTAAGTGCTGTGTTTGGTGCTTTCTGATCTCCTATCTTCACAACTCTGGAGGGAAGGAATGTTGGTATTCCCATGAAGAAACTAGAGCTCAGAAGTTTTGAGAGTCACTTAAGGTCACCAGCTCACCAAGACTCAAGGCCAGCTCTGTCTACTACTCTGTGGTGCTACTTCCCTCCCCACAGGACTCAGAAGGGGCAAATGTAGAAATATGACTCCTTAGATCTTAGACTTATACCTTTCAGAAAGAAGCACTTGTGATATGGGATGGTGGAGGGAGGGAAGGAAAGAGTAAGAGTGTCATCTCATACATAATCAGATCACAAAGTACTTCTTTGTCCTGGAATATGGCCTAAAACAGTCAAATAATAAAATGTAGTCCCTGTGGGTGATACAAACAGCCTGGGAGTGAAAGGATATAAGTTCAGCTGACGTACATTGAGCATTACTTGCTGAATTTGGACCCTGGTGAGGCCTTTTCACATGGCCTACATTCCTCATCAGCTGCTCTGTAGGTTTGACAGTAGTAAACCAATGCTACAAATGTGGACCCTAGACCCTCGAAAGAAAGTGGCCTGTATACTCACATAATTTTGGCCCTTTCCCCCAGGTAGTATTACTCAAAGCCTGGAAGAAAGAAGTTCTTTTCAGCGATATTATGAAGCAGCAACTGTAGGCTGGAAATAGAGGACTCTGTGCTGTGCATTCACGCAACAGTTTGTTTCTGGCTTCCAAATCTCATTAGTTGGGGGAGGGAGTGGCTGTCTGCACTTAGATGTTCTCTGTGTATTGCATTTATATTGTAAGGCTTTCAGTAGGTGTTGGTGTGTAAATTAGTTGTTCCGACTGTGTTTTATTTTTGTTTCGTAGTCTCCTCTAAGCCATGACCTCATCCTTAACCTGACTCAGGACGGGATCAAACTACTGTTTGATGCTTTCAATCAGAGACTTAAGGTAACTATAAATGACAACTAAAGTTTCATGTCAGGCTGATATGTGTTGTTGTGAGATGTTTCTGAAATTCTTAAGTAGGAGTTGAGTCTGTGGTTCAGAGACCACCTCGATGTAGGGAACTGAAGCTATCTATGCCTGTTTCCCTAAAAAAAGGGAAGCTAGGGGTGGGGTGAGGTGGTTGGAAAGATTCTGAGGACTCCAGTCCCAGGCTCTAGAGATGAAGGGGAAAGAGTGTTGAGAATTTGGGGAACATGCTATGGAGACGGGGCTTTTATGTTGAATAGAAAAACAAGAAAAGGAGCTAAGTATTTGGCATAGATTATCCTGAGTCTTTAAAAAGGTACCAAAAATGGATCCCCTAACTACAGGATAGAACCAAAAGACTTTAGTCAGGTTTATGTATCTTGTTTTTTACTTCATTCTTGGGTCATACAGTATTACTTAAAAGATGAAAAATGGAACTGTTCTTCCTAAAATGCTTCCTAAAGAGCTTGGGGCTTAACACCACCAGCAATGAGTTGATTCTTTATCTCCTTTGAGGAAATGTAAACAAACAACTTGCTGATGTGAATGGGTTGTCCTAATTGGCGTTTAAGTGCAATGCCAGATTTACTAACACCTATTTCAGTCCAAGATGCTTTTAATACACTATTTACAAATGCCTGGGCGTCACAGGTGAGTCATGTGACATCAGACTCATGCCTCAGAGTCACATGTTGAATGTGGCTCTGGGCAGTGGCATGCCAAAGCTGTCATCCTGGTTAGCTTATGGAGTTGCCTTTCCAAAAAACTTGGGTACTTCCTAGCTCTCGACATCTCATTAAAGTTGGCTGCTGAAGAGACAGACAGAACATGGAAAAAGAATCTATATATGAAATGAGAATTCCTCATTTGTGATGGTTTTTCAGAAAGCAGAGTTTGATGTGAACATTCTTAGCCCCACTTCTTCCTTGCCTGTCCTTATGGACTCAGTCATCCTGTCTTCAATGACCCGAAGTTTCACACTGGGAAAAGGTAGAGGATGGTCTTCACTGTGGCTTCATCACAACAAATTGGGGGGAAATTTATCTGGAAACAACCTTTACAAAGAGTCATTTGCCCTTGACTTGATAGATCACTTTAGGGAACATAACTTTAAAAGGTTATGAAAAAAAAAAAAAAAGGTTTCGGAGAGGGTAATGTTGCCAGATGTTTATAGCAGAGCTTTTCATAGTAATGAAAAACTGGAAATAAGCTGGAAATAACCTAAGTGGACAACAAAAGGAGGTGGCTAGGCATCCCATCATAAAATCACAGCATGGTGAAAACAAAATCATATATTTAGTGAGACTTGGTATGTGTTAGGTGCGAGGCTTCCCATGCATTTCCTGATTTAATCCTAACAAGCCTGTGAGTGGCACTGTTTACCAGTGAGACAATGCAGAGACACAGGATAGTGGTCTGCCTGGTGCCAAGCTTTTAACCCTATATTGCCAGTGTGTGGTGACTGTCCACTGAGAGTTGGAATGGCTTAGGCTCAGTTGATGGGTATGAGAAATAAATGTAATAAAAGCTGAAGAAAATAGTGTGAGTACACGATGTAAAAATGTGAGGAATGGGAAGTACATTAGAATAGGAAAGGAAGTTAAGTAGAACCTTGTCTTCTGTCTTCTGTGTGGTCCCTATAAAAAAGGAGGGACTGGGACCCTGCCTGAGCTGCTGGAAACTGAGGAAGCCATCTCTCAGGTACCCTTGCTTGGTACCATGTTAGATCGGACCCATCTGCCTGCCCCTCCATCCAGGGGCTTCAGAATCTACCTGTACCTGATGCTGCAGTTCCCCATCCCCTCACTCCCTGCCTGTGAGCGAGCTCTGTGGAGTGAGGCTTCACAAGTCACAACCTTTACAGCCACCTGTCTTCCTTTTTTATCTTGGCTGCTGCCATGTCTCCTCCTCTCTGGTGAAATCAAGGCCTTTTCCAGCCCAGAGGGTAAAAAATCATGGACTTTAAATTTCCCCAGCTGTTTGTCCCTGTCGCCCAGTAAGCTCCGTAGATCAAAATCTGCTTGTTGATTTTTCTGGTGACATGAAGAATTCCAAGATGGTCAGCACTCTCGGTCCCTTGCCACAAGTGTCACCCTGTAATTAACTCTGTTCTGTTCTCTCATTGGGCAGGCAGGATTGAAGCACCTGTAAGAGTTGGTCTGAGCTGTGATAGATGGGTGACAGTGGCATAGGATGGATATCCTGGAAGCCCACCCCCACAGGGTGGATAGGGGGAAGCCCTTGAGGGGCCATGGGCTGGTCGTAGGAGTAGTGATCAGGAAGGCAAAGTGCCTGCCCCTGCTATACAAGCAGGGCTTCTGGCTGAAGGTTGAGGCCCTCTTCCAATATGGGGCCTTGGCCTCAGTGAAACGGAATACCAATTTGGCATGATAGACTGCCATGCCCAGGCTTTCTGAAGGGGACACTAGGTATCTTATGAATCACAGCAGTTTCCCTGCCCTTTCTTACATGACCTCTCTTGGCATCTATTTTCATGCTTTCAAGCTTCATGTTGCCCTTAGCAAGCTTCATACCAGTCAGACTCGCCTGATGTGTTGAGTACCTCCTCTTGGCAAACTAATGAGCCAGATCTTAAAGGGCTTAATTTAGTGGGACCTGTGAACACCATACACAAGTAGTATAGGAAAGGGTTGATTGAAGTGCTATGATGGCCAAGCAAAGGGAGCAATTCTTAGCAATAGGTAGGATCAGAATGGCTGCATTTTAGTTAAGAGATGTCTGTACAACTTGTGGTTCAGTGTTGTGATCTCTAAACAAAGTTAGAAACAAGGTCTGGCCAAGAATGTACTGCCTATTATGTCTGTTTCTGTGGCAATGCCAGATGCTCCTGTACCTAATACCCCACAGTCCCGACCAGGATGAGACCCAGATTGTCAGAGCAAACAGACGTTGAACCAGCTCTGCTTGTGCCTCTACAATGAGGGCCAGACCTCCCAGCTGAAGAATGATAGATGGTGCTCCAGGACCCAGCCAGCCATCCTGCTGGCTGCCAAACCCTCAACACCATTGGTATAGAGGACTTCATAGTGCTTATTACTTGACACCACTAGTGGCTGAGTGTTCAATACCTTTTCCTTTGTCTCTGCCCTTAGTTCTTGGCATTACATTCAAGGCTGCCCATTGTAATGCCAAGAGGCCAAAACTTCCCAAGGGTCCTAAGGTTTTCCAGGTTTAACCAGATGCCCTTCATTAGGGTTATATCTGAATATTGTCACAGTTGTCCTAAGTTAATGTAGTATGACTTGTTTTCTAGCAGGATAGACCTCCCTCCATCTTTTTGTTTTGTAAACCACAGTATTTTGAAGCTATTTTTGAAAGTGACTTGATTTGCGTTTTTATAATTCAGCAAAGTATGGAATAGAAAGAAGGGGTCTCAGTATCCAAGGTTACAACCTTAACAAGCTGCATGAATTTGTTTCTGTGGAGGGTGTCACTGTCCTATAGGGGTGGTATGTGCAGTCTTCTCTGTGACATGAGAACCTTGACCCAGAGTATCCACAGACATCTTTTGAACAAGCCACTGGAAGATGGGGAAGGAGAGGTTATGCTATGCGTGTGGTATGGGTTTTTGCTCCAAATTTAAAAGTGAGAACTAAAGGTAATGTGCAATGCTTCAGGAGAATTTCAGCTAGTGATAGATTTTTTTTCTTTACTATTTTATAAATGTCTTCTTAATCTTCAACTACAGAGCATTAACAACTCTTAAACATTTATTATTTATTATTTTTTTTTAGGTGATTGAAGTATATGACTTGACTAAAGTAAAGTTAAAATATTGGTGAGTTTTCTCCCCTGCTAGCATATGTCACAGGCTTGGTACAAGTGGGCTTTATCTACTACCCTCATTATATTAGTAAAGAAATCTCATCCCCAGTAGTTCTAGGATTACAGCCTGGTGCTATGATTTCCTCCGGTAGCCTCTAAGCCAGCGGTTCTCAACCTGTGGGTCGCGACCCCTTTGGGGGTCGAACGACCCTTTCACAGGGGTCGCCTAAGACTATCGGAAAACAAAAAGATATTTATATTACGATTCATAACAGTAGCAAAATTACAGTTATAGAGTAGCAACAAAAATAATTTTATGGTTGGGGGTTACCACAACATGAGGAACTGTATTAAGGGGTCGCGGCATTAGGAAGGTTGACAACTGCTGCTCTAAGCTTACGCACTTTCCAGGGGAAGAGAAGGAAACCTTATTAAGAACATGCTGTGTGTAAAACACTTCACATATATGTCAGCTTATTTAATCCTCACAACAAAACAGGACCTCGGCTCAGAGGTGATGTGACTGTCTCCTGGGTCATGGCTACCTTCCTCTTCAAAGCCTCTTTTGGCACCTCTTTATGCTTTCATGAGCGACAGAAGTGGGACAAGGTCTGACTCCGAGGCCTATGCTAAAGAAAATGCCAAAGGGACCAATATTTGGGGTCCAAAATCTGCTTTTTAGAATGAAAATGGGAATTGCCTGTATGATGCACAAATATTTGAGCTCTCATTATGGCAAGGCGCTGTTCTAGCATCTAGAATGCTCTTCTCAGTAAGCTTCCTTAATAGGCTTCCCTTTGAGAGGATGTGAAAGGGCCTAGTTTCTGGGGTTGGCTCAAGCAGCTTTTGTTAATAAAGGAGTGGATAAAATAAATGTATTAGCCCTGGCCTCTGCAGATTCTAGTTGTCTTTTGGTCTTGTTGGGGCCTTTATACTTCAATGCCTGGCTTCTCTTCACCCTCTTAAGAGTCAGCAGTGGTTAAGAGTGTAAAGCAGCCGTTCTCAACCTGTGGGTTGCGACCCCTTTGGGGGTCGAACGACCCTTTCACAGGGGTCGCTGGGTACTCACTCGTATGTGGGCGTATTTGCATGTGGGCCTGGAGACGGATAGAGGAGCGGTGTCTCGGTTCCTAAGACCATTGAAAATATGTGTTTTCTGATGGTTTTAGGCGACCCCTGTGAAAGGTTGAGAACTGCTGGTATAAGGTCTAGAGTAAGGCTGCCCTGGGTTTGAGTTATGGCTTCATCATTTTATTACCTCTGAGACCTTGGACAAGTCACTTAACCTCTTGAGCTTGTTTTCTCATCGAAATGAAACCGATAATGTGGCTGCTGGGTTAAGAAGATTGCATGAGATAATGCTAGTAAAGGATTTAGCACCATCCTGGTTAAAAAGAGGTGTTCCATAAATGATACGAATTTTTAAAAAATTATTCTTAACCTTTAAGCATTCTCCTTAAAGTCATAAATGCCTTATTTTCATGCTCATCATCTGAAATCATATGCCCCTCTTTACTCCCAAGCCCATCCCCCAGGTGTTTTTCCTTTGCATGGGATCCATCCCTCCCCCACCCACCTACACCCATTCACCCAGTTCATCGGCCTGTTAAGAAAACAGGCTGGCTTGCTTGGCTACACCCTTCTTTTAAGATGTTCACCCTTTTTTTTTTTTTTTTTTTTTTTAAAGATTTTTATTGGGGAATTGGGGGGATGGGAACAGTGCTGGGGAACTGAGGGAAGGGGAACAGACAAGTTGTTGTCATTTTTGTTCTTCAATCTCGTTGTGGAGGATGTTGCTTCACTGGCCCAAGTTGGCACCGTCATTGCGCTCTTCCCTGGTGAGGCAGATCAGGCGCCGGCTTCTGGACGGCCGCTCACTGCGGCTGCTGGCCGCTCACGCTGGCTGCTGGCTACACACGGTAGCCCATGGCAACCCACGGTACCCCATGGCAACCCACTGCCACAGGGGCTGCAGCCTACGCCGTCGCCGGCAACTCAAGGCAGCCCAGCTCCAGGTTGAGCTGTTGTTCAGCATCTTAGCTGTGGAGGGCAGTGTCACTGGCCCTCATATGTGGGATCCGAACCGGGGCCCTCTGGCATCCCAAGCGAGTTCTTAACCATCGCGCCACTCGGCCGGCCCAAGATGTTCACCCTTTTAAGAAAGTTCCTTTTTCAAGCCAAACCACTAGTAGGCATCCTGGGAAAACACAGTGAGACTTTCTATTCCTATGGCTACTCTTTATCCAGGTCTGAATGCCGTAGGGTTAAGACTGGATTTATTTCCTTCTGAACTGCCTTGTGGCCACATGTCTTGGGAGGCCCTAGAGCAGCGGTTCTCAACCTTTCACAGGGGACGCCGAAGACCATCGGAAAACACATATTTTCGATGGTCTTAGGAACCAAGACACCACTCCTCGATCCGTCTCCACCCACATGCAGATACGCCCACATAGGAGTACCCGGCGACCCCTGTGAAAGGGTCGTTCGACCCCCAAAGGGGTCACGACCCATAGGTTGAGAATCACTGCCCTAGAGGTTCAGTTCTGTACACCAGCCTCAGGAGAATTGACTTGTTCCGACCTCAATTGTCTCTTATTAAAAATTTTTTAATTAAGTTTTTATTTTGATATAATTGTAGACTCCCTGCCTGTGTTTTAAGAATAACTCTTCCAGTCACCATCTCCAATGATCTATGAGCCTATTCTGCAAAGCCTGGTATTAAAAAGTATCTTTGTTTTTCAGTGGAGTACATTTTAACTCTCAGGCCATAGCTCCCACCATTGAGCAGATAGACCAGTCTTTCGGTGCAACTCATCCTGGAGGTAAGCCAAGTCCATCTGATTCCTCTGGTCATCTGTGGCAGCCCATAATGATAAACCTGGCAAGTGGTACCATCCCAGCCACAACCCCCTGAAGCCAGGTTCCTATAGGATATGGGGGTTGGTACTTGGGTGTGATGTAAAGCTCTTCCCCGCAATAGGTCAGTTCAGAAATGAGACATAAGAAAGGTATTGCCAGTCATGCCTCCTTGCCAGGCTAGTTTGTGTTTGCCACATCTGATGCCATTCAACCTTGTCATTTTCTTCTCCCCACTCCCACAGTATACAACTCTGCTGAGCAGCTCTTCCACCTCAACTTCAGAGGACTGTCTTTCTCTTTTCAATTAGACTCGTGGACAGAGGCTCCCAAGTACGAGGTTAGCCCTTCCCTTCTCCTGGTATTTGCTGCCCAGTGTCCAGGTGATATGGGTCAGCAGTCAGTGCCATGAAGGGAGGCTGTCCTTGTCTCTGAGGTCTCCAGGGGCTAAGGGGATAGAGTCGGTAGGGTTGACAGGAAGAACAAAGCCCAAGCTGGCATTCCCAGAAAGAGGGCACTTACTACTGCAGAGGTCAAACTCACTTGTCAGAGATAAATGCCTTGCTTTAAAACTCCTAATCACTGTATCACTGTGGTTTTTTTCAATGGGCTACTATTTGGAGAGTTCATCCTAGATTTGTAGTTACCTGTTGCTTTTAGCAAAATGTTTCATTCACCCTTAGAGTTATGAAATGATATCTTTTTGTAAGGCTTACATTTTATTAAAGGAGGCATTACTGCATTTTCTCTCTGATGAAAGAAAGAAAAACTAAGTCAAATTAAAAATGAACTTGCATGGTTGGGGTGAAGTTATTGACTTAGAGCCAGATTTGACTATGTGCTTTGACCTGGCCAGTTCTTGAAGACCATGAGTGCTGGGAAATGCCAAAGCCTGAATCACATGGCTTGCTGTGTGCCCTTAATAAAATTTTTGTCTTGTGTTTGTAGCCCAATTTTGCCCATGGTCTAGCTTCTCTCCAGATACCCCATGGAGCAACTGTGAAACGAATGTACATCTACAGTGGAAATAGCCTACAGGATACCAAGTACGTGTCAGGGAGCACGAGCTTCATGCTAAGGCCAGTGGGCTCCCTGGGAGGGAAGGCAAAGCCTGTGTTTATTCTGTGCCTGCCCCCAGGGCTCCCGTGATGCCCCTGAGCTGTTTCCTGGGCAATGTGTATGCTGAGAGTGTAGATGTTCTTCGAGATGGAACTGGACCCTCAGGTTTACGACTTCGCTTACTTGCCGCAGGTCAGTTACTGGCTTTGGGGTGGTAGATGCCTCCTTATATCCATATTGAAGCTGTCTAAAATCACACGTGCTTAGAGATAGTTGGTGGAAGACAAATGATGCACATATTTATGATTAAAGCTTTCATTTAAATTTGTAAAGGGACAAGACATAGTCTTATCAGCACATCTTAATAAATAACAGCACTACTTTTCTCAGCGTGTGCATAAGCCTTCTGTCTGCTTATGTAACTTTGCAGTGGTTCCCAAGCTGTTTCCTGGAGATACACCTTGTGGGCTGCAGTGTTGTCTGTTCACTACCCTTTATGCCCAGTTCTCAGAGTTGACTGACAGGAGGGACTTGTTTTATTGTGGTTTGGCCACACCCTGCTGAGAGTTTTGCTAACCTTAATAAAAAGAATTGCTGCCTTCAGTAACTAGTCTCTCCAGGATGCATGCTTCATTTTGTGGTTTCTTGTGCCTGGCCAGTCTCAGCTACTCTGAACGTTGGATCCTGCTTAATGGACAGGGGTATCCAGTGTGGAGTTTGCCTCCATAAAGATGGCCTAGGAGCCAACACAGAGGTTATATATGCCTTCACGGAACTTATACTCTAGCCAGAGTTTGTTCATAAGTTAGGGTCTTGCTTCAGTCTCTGGACATTGTTTCTTAACTGTTAAGAATCTGGCATATAAACTGAACTCACTGCCCTGAACAATTAGACAATTCACAACCTCCAGGTTAGAAATTTCTTAAAATGTGATTGTTTAGCCAAGGCAGAATACCAGCCACTTAAAGGAGTGTTGCACTTGAGCTATAGTTTTTGAAAGAATTGAGATGTAACAGCAAAGTCAAGTAATTTAGGGTCTGTCTTCTCCAAAGGATGTCTGGTTGAAACAGGATAGTCAAGGGTGGCGCAGCTACCGCAGATGACAGCAGGAGGAGTCTGTTTGGGGGTGGGGGGTGGGTCTCAGCCAATTCTGACTGCTACCCCTATACAGCACACTCCTAACAGTCACATCTCACTGCTTACAGGGTCACTGGGGAAAACACTTCATTAAGTCAGGGCCTCACTGAGTTATTGTCCAAACCAATACTTATCGATAGTTTCCTTTGGCAAGCTGAAGAGTAGCTTGTCTCAACCAACTCATTTCTCCCTGTTTCCTTATGGCTACAGTCATGTTCTTAACACAGAAAGTCAGTTCCACTTTCTTGGTCCCTGCAATAATTTATAGGAAGACTTATTCCAGGGAATGAGAAACTAAAATAGTCTCCTAAAACTAAAGGTAATTTTACCTGGGTAGGCTTCAAGCAGAGTGAGACGAGAGAAAGCTTTGCTCGCCTGTGAAGGATGCCTTCCCTGTAGCCCCATCCGGACATTCATAAATATCTGTCACCTGGAGACTGGGCACACAGTCCAGCTTGACAGGACTTTGGTGGGTTCCAGACTTGCTAAGATGCAAATTTATGGACAGAGGTTAATGTGGTCTCTGCTTTGCCCAGGACCTAGTTGATTTAAACAGCCTTTGTTTGACATTCCATGTATATGTGCTGTGAATAAAGACTCTTGGGTTAGTTGGAGAATTCAGCACCTAGTTATTTCAGATTTTGGATCCCTGAAGTCTTCTGTATGTAACAAATGGATTGTTATCTATGAAAGGGCCTTGTCAACTCTAAAGCCATGTGCAGAGTAAGGTCATGTTGGTGGTTATCATGGTACCAGGAATCTGATTTTTGGCTTGGTGGGAGCTAAACCTTTTGTCTTTCCATCCACAGAATGGAGGAAATTTTACTATCAGTGTGTCTGTTGCTATTCCACAACCACCAGTGTGTGTGTGTGTGTGTGTGTGTGTGTGTGTGTGTGTGTGTGTGTAACTGGAACCATTTGTAAAATGTGTTAGACAAACCCAAGGTTTAAAGATTCTTCCCAAAGAAGAAACTTTTGACAAGTCAGGTTTTTTCATTCTCCTACTTTTCCTGGTTTGTCTCTTGAGTATTAGTGTGCCTGTCAGGTGTTTGTAGAATTAGAGAGTGCGATAATAGGTGCTTCACTCTTGGCTCTTAATAGAGTGGCCTTTAGGTCCAATCTCTTATTGGGTTACCATTGAGAAGTATCTCTTAAAGTACATACTTTGTATCTTATCAGGCCCTAGAAAGTGGCAAGAGATAATAGCACCCCATTATATACTTGCATAGCACCTATGCTGCTATTTATTGTACCTCAGCTGTGTGTGATGATCTGATTGGGATCTTCACCATGCCATAACTCCCATGTATGCAGAGACTGCACCTATTTTGCTCACCATTGTTTCCTCAGCATCTAGCAAAGTGTCCTAGCCCATGGGGTCAATAAGTAAATATTTGGTGAGTGAATGTCATTTTTGTGGGATTGAGTGAATCTCTGGCATTATTTTGAGTAGATGTGATCTTGGGTAGCATCTCAAAGCCTGGGAACCTGATATTTCTGCTTGCATATAGTCTTGCCCCTCAGCCAGACCTGATAATGCAGTATGCAGCCAGTAGCCTTTGGGGCCCCCAGGGCCCTGGGCTTCAGGGTCTCAGGCCCTGACCGGGAACCTGAGTACCTCTCCCTTGTTCTCTGCAGGTTGTGGACCTGGCCTATTAGCAGATGCCAAGATGCGGGTATTTGAACGTTCGGTGTATTTTGGTGATTCTTGCCAAGATGTTCTTAGCATGCTTGGTTCTCCACATAAAGTCTTCTATAAGTCAGAAGACAAGGTAAGGGAAATGTGTTAATAAAACAATTTAATTTTTTTTAATCAACATTAATTTAATATTAAGTTGGTACAAACTATTTGCTATTTTCCCATAGAACCTGTTCTGTTAAAGCAGTTGGAGAAGTAAATTGAAAGCTCTTTTCTGACCCCTGTTGGTCAGACTGTCTTGCCTTTCCTTGGACACCAGGGCCCAGTCTGTAGTCAGCCACAGCTGGCTGTATTGGTTGGCACCAGCAGCTGGGACTCCCACACTCTTGTTTACCCAACAGCTTAATGTCATACAAGAAACACAATTTGTAGACTTCCTTTTAACCCAAGAACTGTATTAAGGGGCTAGATTTTAATTCATTGTTATTTTTTCCCCAATAGATGAAAATTCATTCTCCTTCCCCTCATAAGCAAGTTCCATCCAAGTGCAATGACTACTTTTTTAACTACTTCACTCTTGGAGTGGTAAGTTATGATTCCTTAGGGAAGCGTTTCATTTCTGTGTGGGTGGGCATTGTACCTGGGCACATCTGTGTGTACAAATGCAGCTATCACTGCCTGGCAGCGGAGAACCTAGCCCCATCTGGCTTTGCCCGATGTTGTCTTACGTTGGTACCCTAATGTGGACCTTTGCTGCCACCAGGATTGCTGAGATACACAGTGTTTCTGGTATGGTTTGACTTCTTTTCTGACAGAAACATGCTCCACAGGTGGAGGCTTTGGGAATCATTCAGGTTAAGATGTTTTGGGAACTGCCCTTTTATAGAGCATAGGACCCTCTCTGGAATCACAAAATAGGGAGACTAAAAAGGCTCAAAAACAGTGGGAGTGTGCTTATGTATTTTTAGGGGATCACCCCAGAGGCTTTGCTGCAGCCCTATGCTCTGAACCAAGGGTATTGAATGGAGCTGATGGTCACCATCATTGCTGACAGACCAGCTGGTAGATGGGTTGCTTTCGTTAGAAATGATTGTATAAACACTACACTAGCAAGATACATCTCAAGGCAGGGCTGACCCGAACCTCTGAGCTTTCTAGGGCCTCAGGTCTTGAGGCAGCAAAGAAAGGGTAGATTCCAGAGCGGGGGGAAAGAGACTGGGTCTGCCTTTGTGGGAAAGACCAAATAGGAGCCAGAGCAGTGGGGGAGCCTCAATGGGATCATAAACTCTTGAGGGTAGGGTAGTGCTGGGACGGAATGGCACTGTTATAAGCTGAACCTCTTTTGAGTTCGGGAGCCAGCGATGATAGGTGGCAGGGAAGATGGAGCAAATGGACTAGCCCTAATAGGACTTAGTGTGGAGGGGTGGAGTCAGGAATCTTGGGGCCACAGGCTCGAATACCGGAAAGGGTGTGTGGGATAGGAGGAAGTGTTCAATAGACACCATCAAATCCAGGTCTGAGTCCTAGCGAAAGGCTGGACCTTCAGTTCCGGGGGTTGCTAACTCCCATAGACTTCCATAGTGGCCTGATGGAAAACAGAGGGTCTAGCAGGTTATAGCATTCAGAATAGCCAGGTGCCTTGAACCCCTTGAGACAGATGTCCCTTGAATCTTCTTGGTAGCCTTTAAGCCAAAATCTGTGCTCAGATTTTTTTATCAGGTCCTTATCAGGAAAGATCTCCCTGATCTGTTTGAGTTCCTAAGCAGTAAGAGCTGTAGCCCCCTGTGCCTGCTGGAACTGCTGGTCCAAGATTTAGAATGGGGAGACCTGTGGATAGTTGGGTACCTCCCTCCCTGAATATATCCAGTTAAGGCTTCTTGGCCTTAGCTGTAGCCTTGATTTGTTGCCTGGGAGGAAGCTGTTGCCTTCAGGCTCCCCATTGTGGAGTGGGTGTCTCCATGTTGGACATGCCCTTGGAAAGTCTTCTGTACTGCCTCGGTAACTTTCCCTACTTGAGAATCCTTGTTTTCTACCCCAGGACATCCTTTTTGATGCGAATACACACAAAGTGAAGAAGTTTGTCCTTCACACCAATTACCCTGGGCATTATAATTTTAACATGTGAGTATACCTGTATGTGCCCCTCTGAGAAGTGAGCTTTAGGATGAAAATCCCTAGGAAAGAGCTTAGGGCTTTGCAGTTCACTAATTTATCCGTATCTTAGTTCTTGTTGTTTCATGGGAAGTGAATATTTCTTGAGTGTTTGTTCCGTTCCTGGTAGTGTCCAATACCTTACATCTCTCCGTCTGTACCCATTTTAACAAATAGGGAAATAGATTCAGAAAGCTTGGTGTCTTGTCCAAGGTGTTAAGTCTTCAGAGCCCTGAGCCATGCCCTTTTCTGTTGAACTCCAGTGCCTAAATCTGGCCTCCCCCAGTGAATGCTGTGTCAGACCCAGTGCTAGGGCTTTGGTCAGGTGTCCTTGATTCTGTTTTTCCTGGGTTGCAAGGTTTAGATGTGAGGATAGTTAGGCCTCCCAGGAGGCCTAGCCTTTACCCATCTGCCTTCTCTCTGTAGTTATCACCGTTGTGAGTTCAAGATCCCACTAGCCATAAAGAAAGGTGAGTGGTGAATGTCTTCAAGGTAAGGAAAGGGTGTGGGGGTTAGTCATGATGAGAAGGAACAAGTGATCCAAGCAGAGAGGATGGTAGTGATTGGGTTTGTGGAGTCCGCCCTCATCTCCTCCCAGCTGAGCTCTTTGTTCTGGGGGATGCACTATTCTTGATCTGTAGTCTCCTGGAGGCCCTCAAGGTCATTTCCTGTGACCATGGGATTACTGGTCTCTGAGGGAAGAGTTTCCTACCTACAGATGATCATCGAGGTGCTCCCAGCCCAGCCTTGTGACTGTTGTCCTCAGCTGGTTGGTGTAGCTCACATCTGACTGACTTCCTGTGTAGCCCCCACTCTCTTCCATTCAGGAACTCTAAAAAACAGCCTATCTATCCTTCCTCCGTATTCCAACCCCAGTGCAAAGGGTGGTCAGGTCTGGATTCTGCCTAGGGTTGGGGTCACAGGTGGACTGGGCCAGCTGTCAACCACCCCATGTTCTCATTTCAGAAAACGCAGATGGTCAGACAGAAACATGCACGACCTATAGCAAGGTGAGCTCCTATTTTCCCACCAGGTGCAGCCTGAAAATGAGGTGGGCATGAGCCTGCCAGCAGCCTGGGGCCCATGTCCTCTGGGCCAGCCATTGGTCACAGGCATGGTCAGGTCCCTGCTAACCCCCTGCCGCCTCCGTCCCTCTTGCAGTGGGACAATATTCAGGAGCTCCTGGGTCACCCTGTGGAGAAACCTGTTGTCCTGCATAGGTGAGTGTGGGAGGTTGCTGTCTCTGACCACCCCAGCTAGCTCCTCATGGCCCAGAAGGCCCAGGGAAGCCTGACAATAGGTATTGTCACAGACATACTTCCTGCCCACCACCCTGCACATTAGGACTGGGCCTGCTGTTCCGCATGTTTACCTGCACCAGAGATTGCCCACTGGGGATAACTTCCCCCTCCCCCATCTACTTCCAATTATGGAGGCCCTTTCACCCCTAGTTATTTAGAAAGGGAGGCAGTTTTGACTGGCTACCCTGGGTTCTTTTTTTCCCATCAAAGTGGCTACCTGTTGTAGTCCACAGGCCAATACCCAATACCTATTGCCATGTTGCCTGGGGCTCCCCCTCCCTCCTGACTTCTCACCACCCCAGTCCAATTGCGCAGTAACTTTCTGTGCCCTGTTGGGCTGTGTAGGATTCAGAGCGGAGTAAGACCTATTGCTACCGCTAGGATCTCAAGGGCCTGTGTGGGACATAGAGACCATTTGCCAATAGTCCCCATCCCAAAAGGGACAGGTTGTTTTGCCTGGCTTTGGCCTCTGTCTGCCCCTCTAATTATGGCTTTCCCTGCCTTAGGTCCTCTTCCCCAAACAACACCAATCCATTTGGCTCCACATTCTGCTTTGGTCTTCAACGGATGATCTTTGAGGTAAGACTTGGGGACTGGGGCCAGTGGTCATGGCAAAGACATGCAAATCATTGAGAGAGATTGGGGAGGACCTAATGGCCCTGCTGAGCAGGTTAATCCTTCCCCATCAACTGTCTGGTGAGAACCTGGCCTACCCAATTAACAGTGAGGGTTCAGAAATTATGTTAGAGAAATTCAGGGTCACGGAAGCTAAAGCAGTGGTCTGTGCAGTGGTCTATATCTAACAAGATAAGAGGTAATGGGGATCCCACATTTGTATCTAAAAACAGTACAGCAGGGAAGGGAGGCACAAGGCAAATGGGGCTCATCCCAGGGGTGTTGGGGGCCTTTGAATGTCATGCCAATGAATGCTGTGGGCTGCCCCTGTTTTCCTTTCTGGATGCCATAGCTTCAGCAGGCCCCTAAGAGGTCCAGAAGAACTGGGCAAAAGGGAGTGTGAAGTTTAGGTATCCCGTGAGGCACAGGCAGATGCTTGGGCAGAGAGGCCCCCTAGCATGAGTTGGGATACTGAGGGTCTGCCCAACCTTGCGTGCAGGTGTACTGTACACACAAACCTCCCAACACCTGTGCACAGAACCTGCCTCGGGTCCCTTTTCTGCAGTCACAGCCCCAGTGTTGATCCCACTGTTGGTTTTGTGGGTCTGATTGCCTGCCCTGCCTACACCCTTTCTACTCCTCCCCTTTGACTTGCTGTCCTCTTCTCACACCAGGTCATGCAGAATAACCACATTGCCTCGGTGACCCTGTATGGCCCCCCCAGGCCTGGTGCCCATCTGAGAACAGCAGAGCTCCCCTAGGACATCACCACCCATGCCCCTCTGCCCCGTGGAACTGTGCATCACATCCTTGGCAGGCCTTCATGTGCCACCCTGTGGGTTTTATTGGACACCTTGCCAGTGTTGAAGGGCTGTTGTGATGTTCTGAGGTGGGGCTCAGGCTGGGTGCTCTGTCATGGGGTAAGAGGCCCAGATATTCCTCTGTCTGTCCTCAGCCTGCTGTGCTGGTGCGAACAGGGGACACAGACTGCAAAGAGAAGCACAAACTCTGAGCCTTGATACCTGGACCCAGGATCTCTCGACTAACACGTAAAGAGGCAGAGTTCTGTCTCCCCTGTCCTACACATATTGGAAAACTTGGGACTCTGTGGCTGAGGACACAGGCACCCAAGATGAGGACAGGGTCCTGCCTTTGGCCCAACATTGCCACATGACCCTTAAGGCAAGCAGGTAGCATGTCCATAGTACTTGGTTGCGACTTTTGCACTACTACATCCACTTTAGTTACTTGATGAGCTGGCTGTGGCCAAGGTGGCCCACCTGCCCTTCCCTGTTCCTTTCTTGCACGAGCTCCCTGCCAGGCCCAGTAGGCACACCCAGCTGGTTGAAACACAGCTTTCTACCATCCAGGTTACATACCCACCTGGTTCCCACCCGTCTTGGAGTCAGCCTTCAAGGTCACCTGTGCCCGCTGTGCCCCAAGCTGACCGGCAGGGCTGCATGTTTCCATCCTGTTTGCCTCTTTTATTTAATGCCAAAGTTTCAGCCAAAGACATCTTCCTCCTCTTGTTGTGTTTCACCATTCTGTTCTGCACTGTGGGCTGGCTCCCCTGCCCCATCCCTGGGCAGTGTCCCCTAGCCTGGCCCATGTATGGCTCAAGGCCTCTGGGGACTCAAGGAGAGCTGGGCCGCTCAGTCTCTTCATGGGTCTTGCTAAGAAAAGTAGCATATGTGCTTTAAAAATAATAACCTTTTGAAAAGAATTGAAAAGAGAAATGTATAATTTTATCCCATTTTTAATATTTTGGTCTAGCAACTTGTGATACATAGATGACAATTTTGTGAGTTTTTCAAATGTGTGTACAGATTTTTGTAAATATGACTCTTTTGTAATTAACTCATGTACAGCCTCATCCTGTATAGTTTAACAAATGAATGTGCAGGGGGCCTGCCCCGGGCTTCTTTGTGGTTCTTGGGGCTACAGCCAGGCTTGTGTGGCACTCCCATGACCTTGTGATTGACTCGTGTCTTCCCATTTGGACTGTGGCCTGGCCAGAGACCCCCGCACATCCCACTGTTGGGTAAGCCAGGACTATTCTCATCCCCTGGAATGGGGGAACCTTCCTCATGCTCTGCCCATACCCCTCTTCCAATAAAGACCTATCCCCTCAGCAACAGCTCACCATGTGCCGTTGCTGGGATGTTTGTACTAAAATTTGATTTTTTTTTCTTTAAGAATGGGATAATGTATAGTGGAGTCATTTTTAGAGAGGAGGTTCCTTGGCTCCTCTGAAGGGGGCAGCACAGCCTCCAGTAGGAGACTGGCATAGTTGTGTGGGTATAGGCCATTGTGCCAAGTGTAGTTGGAGGTGGGGAAAGACTTGAGGGAGGACCACGCGTGGTTGTCCCTCTGTGCCTTCATCCCTAGTGTTCCACCAGCCAAACCAGGGCCCAGGACAGGGTGGCTCCAAGAAAGACCTCAAAAGGAGAAGATCTCAAGACCTTAACAGTACTGAAAATTCAATTTGGAGGAACAGGTGGGAAGCAATCCCTACTTTCAAACAGTTTTGACAGAATGCCTGCCAATTCCATGAAGGCTGAAGCCAGGTCCCTACACCTGTGGGGACCTGCATGTGTCTGCATCATCTTAGGGGTTCCAAACCAAGCAGTGTAGTCAGATTCCATGACCCCCACCACCACCTACTTAGTACTGGAACTTAGGACAGAACATGTCCCACTGCTTGACAAAGAGCCTGCTGCTCCACTACCTCAGCACTGGCTATCTCTAAGTATTGTCATTAGATGATTCCTGACCAGCTCCTAGTAGGGACAAAAGGAGCCAGGCTCAATCTTCATTCCCTGAGAGCCTTTGGAAGCAGACACCTGGCAATCTGGAGCTGTATCCCAAATTCTGCCAATTTCTGGGGAACAACCACATTACACCGCAATAACCCACCTGAGAAACCTACTCTTCAAACTCCAATCCTGGGTCTGCATGAGGGGATCTTGGGGCTGTGGTAGGTGGCTAGGAGCCCCACTGGAAGGGGCCCATGGCCACAGGTCCCCGATGTGCACAGGCTGGCCCATGAGGCCCGTTCAGCATGTGCCACATAAGCCAGATGTCAGCAGCTGAGAGCCCATGCACTACAACCAGCTCACGGTAAAAGCAGGGGTCGAAGGTGCGCAGGTGTGGCGCGGCTGAAGGCTGAGGGATGCCAAAGGTGCGGAAAGCAGGATGAGGCTCAGGTGTGAGCCGCAGGCGCTGCAGACACATGCCCAGAAAGACATCGTCAATGGGAAAGAGCTCAACCTGCGCGCAGGCGTCAGACAGGCGGCGCAGCGTGGCCCCAGAAAACACGAAACCACCGCCACCTGCATAGGCCGGATAGACGGGCAGGCCGTACACAGCCTCTGGAATGTAGTACTTGCTGGCTCGCACGCGGATTGGCCGCGCCTGTACGATCACGTCACCAGCAAGCAGGTCGTGCGCGGGGTCCCTTGGCGCCAAGAACTCCAGCAGGTTTCCCACGTGCACGAAGACGTCAGCGTCACCCTTGAAAACGAAGCGCACGTCGGGACAGTAGGCCGAGGCCCAGGCCAGAAAGTGGATCTCCTTGAGCGTTAGGTTGAAAAAAGTGTCATCGAAGGCCCAGAGCAGTATGTCCGCGTACGTACGGCTCTCGGCACTCAGCAGGGCACGCCAGTGCGTTTGTGTGCGTGCCCCGTCTGAGCCTGCTCCCCTGGGCACGCCTAGCAAGAACACACGGCGCACGAGTGCCCCCTGCACGTGACCTTCAGCACCCCACGTCTGGCGCACGGCTTGGCGCCGTTCAAAGTCCGCCGCCACTGACTTGACGGCGATAAGTAGGTCGGGCCCCCTGGCCGGTGCTCCATCGCCTAGGCACTTGTGCGGCTGGTTAATGAGCAGCGGGAAGCGCCGCTGGTCCTTGGCGCGCAGATAGCGGCCAAAGTCAAAGGGTCCGGTAGGCGTGGGCAGCTCTGGCGTGTCCTCTTCGTAGACCTGCAGGGCTGCGCCCTTGTCTGGTTCCTGGAATAAGTGGAGCCGAGGGGTAGGCCCCAGCGCTGCCCTCCCTGGCTCTCGTGGCGCACCGGTCGTCAGGGCCGCGCCATCGCGCTGCGCATAGAGCAGAAGACCGAGGGCGGCGCCCAGGAGCAATGTGAGCGACGCGTCCCCGCGTAGACGCAGCCTCCGCTTCATGTCCGTGTGGCCGCAGCCCGCGCCCCCTGCAAAGAGACTCGGCGGCTCGCGATGTGGAAGCCAGACGCAGATAGGGGCTTCCAGCCCCGCCCCCCAGGGGAGGGTGCCACATCCTGGTAGTCTCCAACTACTGGCCGTTCATCCCCCTCCGGTGTCTTCTTACTCTAGGCCCTGACTCCCCACCCCCATCAGCAAGGGCAACCTAAAAGGGCAAAAGTTCCCCAAGTAGCCAACTCCCACCCCCTCAGCTCAGGCCCAGGACCGTGCCCCAAGGGCAAGGAAACGCGGAGCCTCAGTCCCATCCTCCGCCCGCCTTCCCCGTGCTGAGACCGAATCATTTCCACCCATTCCTACCCACCACGTCTGTCCTTGGGATCCTGACACGCTCGACCCTTGGGAGCGGCGCAGCCCCAGACGCCGGGGCCTCCAGGGTTCAGCACAAGGTCCCAAGGGCGGCCATGGACAGGGCCTGGGCCAAATGCAGCGTTGGCAGGAAGGGGGGCTGGAGCAGCTGCCACGTGACCCTCCAGCTGTGCAAGCCCAGACAGCTGGAGCTCAGCTCCACCCCGGCGCGGCAGGGAGCGCTGTGTCCGAGTGAGGACTAATCTCTGAATGGGATCCTTATAGGCAACTCTTTCTGGGAAGGCGGAGCGCTGTGTCTGAGTGAGAACTAATCTCTCAGTGGGATCCTTATGGGCAACTCTCTGGGAAGGCCCCATGAGGTGGGTTCTGGTCTCCCTACAGGCTCAAACTCCCCAAATCTTCCTTTGGGAGGAGGTGGGCAGGAAGAAGCAATAACCTCTGATTAGGCTTCCCACCCCCACCCCTGCCCCTGCTTCTCTGGAGCAGGGGCAGGGTCTGGGCAGGCAGGAGCCCCAGGACAGGCTGGTCCCAAATCCCTAGGGCCCAGTGTCCTAGTCATCCACCTGGCCACTATCGCAGTCCATCCTTGGAAGCGCCTTCCCTCAGCTCATCAGGATCTCTGGTTCCACCAGGCAGGACCCATAAACTACTACTGAGCTAAGTGACTTGCCCAGGATCATACAGGCAGAAGGTAAGAGCACTGCCTCAGGTCTTCTGGAATTCAGCCCTGGACTCTTTCTTCTATTCTCCCTTGCCCCTGTCCCCATCCATCCACTGGGACACAGGACAGGGGGCCAACCCTGTGTGCTTTAACTTTACAGGTGAGCCCTTCAGTCTGTCTCTCCAGAGGCAGTTCTGAGGCCCGTTGACCCTAGTGTCTCACACCAGCATAGCCTCCTTGCAGGTAGAAACAACCAAGCCTGGGCCACTGAAGGCCAGACTGGGAGACTCCTGAAGTTGGCCAGTGAGCAAAGGGTTTGATCTGGGACCCAGGCAGGCAGAGAGGTGCTCTGGAGATTGAGGGTCCAATCCTTGCCTAGCTCTGCTGCCAACTCTCTTCCTGGAACTCAGAGCTTCCAGTCCCAAACCATGCAGTGGGGCCTGGAGTAGACAATCCTCCATCCTGCCCCAGAGTTTGAGGGCATGCTACAGGAACCAGCACTGCCACCCAGGCCCATCCTCTTTCCAGTGGCTATGCCTACTCCTTCTGACAACTTCTTCCCACCAATGTTCTCCCCTAAAAAGCAAACCCTGGGCCGGCAGAGTGGAGTGTTGGTTAAGAGTTGGCTTAAGGGCCGACCGAGTGGTGTGATGGTTAAGAACTCGCTTGGGACGCCAGAGGGCCCTGGTTCGGATCCCACATATGAGGGCCAGTGACACTGCCCTCCACAGCTAAGATGCTGAACAACA